TTTTTTTAATTTTTTTTTTCAACGTTTATTTATTTTTGGGACAGAGAGAGACAGAGCATGAACGGGGGAGGGGCAGAGAGAGAGGGAGACACAGAATCGGAAACAGGCTCCAGGCTCCGAGCCATAAGCCCAGAGCCCGACGCGGGGCTCGAACTCACGGAACGCGAGATCGTGACCTGGCTGAAGTCGGACGCTTAACCGACTGCGCCACCCAGGCGCCCCTGTGACAGGTACTTTTTAGGGAATCCTTGTCAAATCCTCCTGACCATGCCACGAAGTGAATGATTTGCTGCGTTTACACCACAGGCAGAAGAGCGTAGTGCTTAGAAGGAACGTATATGGTGAATCTGAATCCCAATGATCACGTGGCTTAGATTTTCTAGGCCTCAGTTTCATCGTCTCTAAAATGGAGATAACAGTAGCACTTTCTTTCCTTGTTGTGCGGTTTCAAGGACTAACTGAGATGATGCATCTAGTAATAATAGCAAATGTATCATACATGGATACATGCCAGACCCCAGGCTAAGGGCTTGATAGGCATGATCTCATTTACTCTTCTCAGAGCCTTAGGTTTGAAGAAGCTTAGAATGGTGTTTGGTACATGATCAGTTATTAGAGGGTCACAGATATAATGTGGTGGAGCCATGGCATTCCCTCAAACCTGTGCAACTCTGAGGCCTCAGTCGGCATCACTGTGGGGTCCTGTGGGTCTGGATGGAGACCAGGGCTGGGGTGTGTCTCAGGGGCAGGCGTGGTGGGGGGGGGGGGGGGGGGGGGGGGGGGGGGGGAGAGGCGAGCAGGGAACAAAGGCTAGGAGTCTTGCAGGGGTTTTCAGAAAGGGGTGGAAGGGAGGTTGTAAGGAAGCAAGAAGAAAGTAGGGAGAGTGTGTGGGGATTCCAGAAGAGGACCTGGAGGGGAAGGACAGAGACAGGGCCGGGGTTCAGTCCAAAGAAGCAATGCTGCTAATGACATCCCTGACAATTTTTCGCACAGTTCTGTGTGCCCACCGTGCGCTGGGCTGGGGCTGAACCAGCATGGTACATTCTGCCATGCCTGGAGTACAGACCCTGTATGTGCCAGAGCAGTGGCTGGGGAAGATGGAGGCCTGGTCTCAGGGCCCCTGTGGGCCAGCATGGGGGCTCACAGACCCAGCCTGAGGGCAATCGAGGCCACTAAGGGCCCCAAGAAAGCCTGGGCTGTGGTCCAGGGCAGCTGACAAAGAACGGATTGGAGTGTGGGTTGTGGGTGCAAGGCCAGGGTGGAGGAGGCAGGGAGATAGCTCACAAAACGTCAGAGAACAAGAAAGTTCCTCCAGGGTCAAAACCCACTCTCTGGCCTGGTGATTCCAGAGCGGGAGGAGAAGTTGTCCTGTCTGATGTAATTTCCATGAACAGGAAGTTCCCTGGTCATAATAATAATAATTGCTACCAATTGCTAATCTCCCACCTCCTGCCAGACACCTTAAATACTTTATTTCTAAGTATCCCATGTCACACATAAAGAGCCTGAGGCCCAGGGAGGTTAGGTAACATGGCTAAGAAGTATCTAGGCAAGAATTTAAACTGAGTTTTTCCCAGATACCTGGCATCTTCCAGGAGTCTAACGACCCTAAAACATTTTACTATCTCTCTGGGTTTTGTTTTACATGTAACATATACATTTTGTACAAAAAGGGTATAAGTTTAAAAATGCTTCTCTCTTGCCCCACCACCCAGTTCCCCAAGCTAGATGTGGGCAGAGCTACCAATCTCTTGTCCTTTTCCTGAGAGGTTCTATACATTTATAAAAACATTCATAGATATGAATACATATATTTCCTGAAAATGAACGTCCCCCATTCTATGTACCATTAGGTACCTTTTTTTTCCTCCCAATTAATGATATATCTTGGAGAAATTCTCCATCCTTACATCTAGAGATGTCTCATTTTGTTTTTTTAATTTTTTTAAATGTGTATTTATTTTTGAGGGGGGCGGGAGGGGCAGAGAGAGAGGGAGATCCAGAATCCAAAGCAGGCTCCAGGCTTTGGGTTGTCAATACAGAGCCCGACACGGGGCTCGAACCCACGAACCTTGAGACCATGGCCTGAGTCAGAGGCTCAACCGACTGAGTCAGCCAGGTGCCCTGAGATGTTTCATTTTTTTTAAAAACAGTGGCCACTGCAGATTTTCCCTGCATGGAGGTGCCAGGATGTATACAACTGATGCCATATTTATGGACACTTCCCCTACAGGTGGTTATAAATCTTTTCAAATCTGATTTTGATCTCTGCTCTGCAAACCTACCTGGGGTAAGGATTTTGTCACCTTGAAGCTTTCCTTACATAACCCCTGAAGGGAGAGTCCAGTTTAAAATACGTATATTTTACCAGTTTTGGTAACTGTCTTTGTTGCTATTTCCTACACCAGTTGCTAGTAGCAGCTGGGTGTCTGGCATAGTGTGAGGATGGCAATCACAGTAACGGTGTGTGGGTCTCCCTACATTCCCGCACTCATCTTAGCAGTGCTGCCAGAGGGTTGACATGTGAATCCTCTTTTGGTAGAAAAGGAAACAAGTTCAAAGAAACGAAACCACATTCCTGTTCTTACCCAGCCAGAGGTGGGTGAGCTGGAATTCAAACTCAGACGTCTACGAGCCATGACATAGTTCTGCCCACTCAAGCTCTCCCTGGTGACCTAGTTTTCCCTCCTGAATCCTATTTTCCATGTTTTCTGAACTGGTTATTCTCCATTAACCCAGTAGGATCCACTCTTTGCCCTTCTTGGACCTGCCCTGTGTCCTGGGAGGCTGTCTTCTGGGCGCTCTTGCTTCCTGGCTCTTTTGAGCCTGATTTCCAATCTGGCCAGTGGGATGAGAAGCAGGGAGCAGAGAGTGACCAGTTCTCCTGCCCTTTTTCCTGTTCCCTCCCTGCTGTCTGGCAAGCAGGCAGGCTCCACTTAGCCCTCAGCGCCTCCAGCCAGCCCTCTCCTATGTTTTCATTCTCCCTGGGTCCCCCTAAAACTGCTCCCTCCCTTTGCTCTTTCAGGCCAAGAGGTGATGACCAGCCTCCCGCTGTTGCTAACCTCACTATGCTTCCAGCTCTTCTGCATTTCGGCAACGAGACTCTTCTTTGAACCTTTCCAAACCCTTTAAGCATTCTTCTTTAAACTCTCTTGTTTGAATGGGCCGGGTGTTTCTTTTCAAGACTCTGATTGCTACATGTGCCCCAGCCTCACCCCTGTTTCCCTTTCTCTTCTTCTGACGCACCAAGAAGTTGGATAGCCTGGCCAAACCACAGCGCTAACCGTCTCTGCATGTCTGCTCTCCAGGGAGATTGGTTTAAGCATCACAGAATGCAATATTAGCCTTTTCTTTCTTGAGTACCTATGATAGGGCAGGCACTCATGCCTTCTCTCGTGGGCTTCCCTGTGTAGTGACAGCTCGTATCTCAAGCTCTCTTCCTGATGGAGCAAGTTACCAGCCCTGTGGACCGTGGCATTCCGCCACCAAGGGCTGGTGACCGGCTTCCCACGGTTGCTAACCCCAAGGTGCTTCCAGAGCCCGAAGGTCTTCTAGGTCAACAAAAGTGTTCTTTGGCATCTGCCGAAATAGGGGATCTCAAGACATCATTTTAGGCAGAGGCACTGTTTCCTTACAGATCCCAGGAGAGTTCAGGTTTTTGGAGGTCTCTCAATGCCTCATTCCAGAACAACTGTCTCATTCCAGGACAACTGTCTCTTTCTGGCTAAGGAAGGACAGAATCCCAGAACACTGACGAGATGCTCTGGTTTGGCTCCATAGGAAGCTTAGGGGGTTAGGTGGCTTAGGGGTCACAGCCTGACTTCCCATGCCTTGAATTTCTTCTCTAACATGAACACCATTTCCAGGTTATCTGCGTATTTCTATGTTTTCTGAATGATGACATGTGGCTGTGGACCCTGCTGCCTGAATCAAGATCTGTTTGCTGACTCTGAGGGGGTGGTGAGAGTTACATATTAGCCATGGCTTGGTCTCTCCTGGTGTTCCTGCTGTGAAGCCAGCCAGCATTGCTTAGAAGACAGACTTCCAGTTAAATCAATTAAAAAGCCTGTTTTCTCCTCTGGCATATAATACCTTTGACTGAAATGAAATCAGTCATGACAGATTCGCAGGAGTATTTTTTTTTTTTTATAAAAAGGTATTATTTGAATGACATTTCCTTTGGTCTTTAAGGTTTTTGATGTTCCTAGTCCAGAGTTGTAAGTTTCCCCTTGAGACCTGTACCCACCCCACTTGGCACCAATGTTCTCCCTACATCTTACATTCATTTTTGACTAAGCTCCTCTACCCTGAGCCCCCAGCAAGGTGTGAGAGATAGACAACAAGGCAAGAGATTCTTTCTGGAGCATTGAAAAAGAATATTTCTAAACCCAAGAAAAGGGGTTGGTTAGATTATAGCACAGACATATCATATACAGGAACATAATGCAATCATCTATATCATCATACTGCTGTGAATTTACTAACAATAAATAAAATCATAACATATTTGGAGACTCAAAATAATCTCATCTTGTTACAAAATACAGAATTCTATACCCCAAAATATCAATAGTGGTCACTTCGATGTGGTTATGGGTAATGATAATTATTATCTTTTCCTTATCTGTGTTTTCTAACTTTCTTCAATGACATATGTTAGTTATATAATTTAAGGAGGTTTTTTTTTTTGTTTTTTTTTTGTTTTTTTTTAAGAAAAGGAATATTCCCAAATAGTCATAGTACACTATGATTGTAATTATCTAAAACCATGTTATTGGAGGTTGTTCCCATATAAACATAAAGAGGACAATTCATCTCCTGGAATCATTGAGGATAAACACCAGATTGGACCTCTCTGCCCTTCCCATGGTGTTCCCTTAGCATGGGGAAGCAGGGAGCTTGGTGGGTCAAAGGAGTCTGTCCACAGCTGCAGCGGCTGCCAGGTGCCTGCAGCAGGTCAGCGCGCCTCTGGCTCAGGGCTCAGGGGAGAGACTGCTTACCTGGAACACACAGGTGTCTCCTCTGGCCCGGAGCTGGCCCACAAGCAGGTAGGTGGTGAGTCCTGCCAGGATGGGGAGTGACAGCAGGCAGCAAGTGAGAGCCCAGCGTGCTCTGCTCTTGGCTGCTAACCTGGCTCTGGCCTTGGGGGTGCAGCTGCCTTCCTCCGGCAGCATTTCCACGCTGGCTGTTTCCCTGAAGCCCAGCCCCAGATTCTCTGCCATGCTCCCGCTGGTCCTGGAGACAGCTCTGACTCCCCCTGGGCAGAGAGACCCCCCATTAAATAGAAGACAGGCTCTCACAGTGGGTGCATTAATCACTGCCTACTCCACCCCCTGGCCTCTCCCCTCCCCCTTCCACAACACACTGGGCCCCGCCTGGCTAGGGAATGCACCGCCTACAACAGAAACCAAATCTGGTTTAAGAAAAAAGAAGAAGAAGAAGAAGAAGAAGAAGAAGAAGAAGAAGAAGAAAGCTTTCCCAAGCGTATTTATATACAGTGTGCTCATGTGCTTCTTCCTTCGTTTACAGAAGGAAGTGAGGAAAGTCCCTGGAGGAGGAGAAAAAGAATCCATCAAGACAGTGGGTGGGGCGAATTAAAATATAGCTGTTCCCAGCGCTGGAGACCTTCCAGCCATGCCAGTCTGGGGAGTGTGCCGCTTCTGGAAGTGAAAGTGAAGGCCCGGGAGATGTGTGGTGTGGCTTGCAGACTGGGAAATAGAAATCGTGTTTGCATCACTGCTGTGCAAAATGCTGCCAAGCCCTCTGCAGTTTTGAGCTTCATAGGAGCTCATTTTTCTTGCACAGCCGGAAAAACCAAAGTTCTGGAAAGTGAAAGGCATTTCTTTAGGTCATCCAGGGATTAGGACAGAGGAGGAGCTAGGATGATGGTTTAGTTCCTCAAAATCACTGTTTGGGGTTCTTGCCTCTACCACACAACCATCTGTGAAAGGAAAGTGCATACCTTGCCTGAGTAGACCAGTTGTCTAAGCAAAGAGTGTGAGGTCATAAAGGTGACTGCTCACGAAAAGAGGACATTGACTTCTCTCTTCTCTGATTAGTTCCAAGTTGATTGAACACAAGTGATAGGCCTTGCCCGCAGTTGGGTGTGTAGAGGGCCCACAACATGTAATAAACGCTAACATTTATTAAACATTTCCTTTGTGCCTGTCACTGTTCTAGGGGAGTTAAAGGTATCAATGGAATTATTCAATCCTGAGATAACCTTTTGACGTAGTAATGTTATGATTACCACTTGACAGATAAGGAAATGGAAGCATAGGATCTCGACTTAGGTAGGCTGGCTCCAGAGTGTCATAATCATTGCGCTACACTGCACGCGCTGCTGTATTGTGCACGTACACAGACACCCACACCCAGTGTGCCCAGAAAAAGGCCATCCTTCCAGTTAGGGGTTGGGGAAGCTTCCTGGAGAAAGAGCTGGTGTAGGAACTAGGCCTTGAAGCTTAGGGAACATGATGTTGGAGAAGAGCAGAAGACTCTGCAGAAAGATGGGTAATAGAAATAGGAAAGCTTAAGGATGTCCTGTGGCAAGTGGTGGAAACTAGCCTGACTAGCACCTCCGTTCAGTTGCTACTTGTGCTATTTCACATCGTGATCCTTGTGGGCTACTTGCAAAGGCGTTCCATGATCTAGTCCCTGCCCACCATCACCCCTCACCAGTGTCCAGCCTCAACTCTTACTCTTTTCCCAAGCTGCAGTTCTCCCAAACGCATTATGGATTAGTGAACTGTTGCACATGCTAGTCCCTCCACTGTGACGGCCTCCAATCCTGTCCTATCGTATCACCATGCTCCCCTATTTCACACTTTGTATTAAAAACTTTTCTGCATCTGTGGCCTCTGAGATTGGGTGAGATGCTCATCTATGTTTTTATAGCTTCCTGTTCTTCTCTTATCATAGAATATTTCATAGTAAACTATGGCGGACTACTTTTCCATTGTCCCCATTAAATCATCAGATGTAGGAGGGCAGGTGCCAAGTTACTCACATCCCTTCCCTACGACTGTAGCTCCTAATGTAATAATGGTCATAACTGACATCTATTGAAATAAACATCTAACACATTTCCAAAGAATTCCAGCAAAGGATGATTCTAGGAGACTAACCTAGATCTTTGCCATTGTAACTTTTGAACACACAATCACCCTTAATACTGGATCATCTTGAAAGAGTTTACAAATATGTTCTTATTCTTGTATTTCTTTTTTAGAAGCTTGGTATGCTTAATCAAACCAGGGTCTTAAAAGTGTTAAATGTATGGGTTCACAGGAAGAAGTATGTACTCTCACCCACAAGATCAAAAGGCCTCAAAAGATGAGGAAGATTAAAAACACCAGACTGGGGATCTGGAGGTGTGGGTTTTAAACCTCAGTTGTGTGACCTTGAGAACTCTAGCAGACCCACCTCATTTTAACGTACCTGGCTATCTACAAAACCTGGTAAGTAAGCTTGTGATACTTCTGTTTAAAGTAAGATTCAATGGATTCTGAGTTTGTGCCCAGGGAATGTCCTATAAGAAGAGAATAAGAGTGTTAGGGCCTGGACCTATGGACATTTGTTTGAGGTGGTTGTAGATGTAGATTTACATGTAGTTGCAAGAAACAAAACAGAGAGATCCTGCATGCCCTGGACTCAGTTTTCCCCAAAGGCAACATCTTGCATAACGAGAGCATAACATCACTACCAAGAAATTGACATTGACATTGATATTCAGACTTTACCAGTTTTTATGTGTAGATATGTGTTTTTATTCATTTGTGTAGACTTATTTAGTTTCTGTGTAGTGTGCCATATGTGCAGATGTGTGTGACAGTCACTACAGTCAAGGCATAGAAAAGCTCCGTCTCTAGGATCCCCCATGCTACAATGTATAGCCTCTGCTACTACCCTCCTCTTTTAACCTCTGCCCTCCAACTCAGTAATCATGTTCTTTCACAAATGTTATATAAATGGAATTGTGTGGTCTGTATACTTCTGAGATTGGCTTTTTTTTTTTTTTTTTTTTTTCCCCCGCTCAGCACCATTTCCTTGAGGTCCATCCAAATCATTGCATGATCAATGGTTCATTTCTTTTGATGGCTGTGTGGTATTCCATGGTACGAATGTAGCATGGTTTGTTTAGCCAGTCACCCACTGAAGGAATTTTGGGTTATTTCCAGGATTGACTTATTTATTAACAAAGCTGATATGAATATTGGTATACAGGTTTTTGTGTGAACATGGCTTAATTTCATTTCTGGTATAAATGCCCAGAGTGAAATTGCTGGGTCATAACGGTAGGCACTTGTTTCATTTTGTAAGGAACCCTCTTTTCTAGAGTGTTGGTATCATTTTGCTTTCCACCAGCAATGTGTGAAAGAACCAACATCCTTCTCTGCATTCTCTCTCCAGCATTCGGTGTTATCACTATGTCTCCTCTTAGCCATTCTTGTAGGTGTCTGGCGATATCTCACTGTGGTTTTACTTTGCATTTCCCTGACGGCTAACAATGTTGAACTCATTTACCTTCTGAAGCCTGTTTGGTGATACAGACATCTGTTTTGGATGCTGAAATTACTTATCATTTCCTTCTTGATTCTCTCTCAGTGGATTCCAAGGCAGAAGGCAAATCACTTTTAGATAAATAATGAGCTATTGCACTTGAGTGCCAGCTACGTGCAAGATAGTGTTCTTGGTACTGGGAATAAAGCAGTAACAAGAACAGAGAACAATCCCTGTTGTCATGGAGCTTATGTTCTAGTGGAGTGAGATGGCCAGTAAATAAAAGAAATGAGTTAAGCGTATTAGATGCTCTTGGAGCTTTAGGAAAAAAAAAAAAAAAAACAGAAAGGGAGATAGGCAGTTACTTTAGTTACAGTTTAATGTAGGGTGGCGAGAAAAACCCATGCTCCTGGCCTTGAAAAAGCTGTGTGTCAGGAGCATCAGTGTGGCCAGGAAGACTGGAGTTGTGAGTGAGGAGGAGACCAGGGGCAATGAGGTCAGAGCAGTATCAGAGGAGGCTGGCCATGCGGGGCTCTGAGCATGGGTAGGAGTTGGCTCTCATTCAGTGTGGTGGGGAAGCTCTGGAATATGTAGGGCAGAGGAGTGGCAGGATTTCATTTCATAAAAATCTTCCTGGCTGCTGTGTCAAGAATAGCCCAAAGGAAGGGTGGAATCAGGGAGACCAGTTTGGAAACTATTGCAATAATCCAGGCGAAGCAAGATGGTGGATTGGAAAAGGTGGTGACAGAGAGGGTAACAAGAAATCATGGGTTCCATAAGTATTTTGAAGTAGAGAGGACATAACTTCTCACCCAGTTGGATGTAGGGTGAGAGAGAAAGAGAAAAGTCTGGGTCCAGGGTTCTTGGTTGGAGCATTGGAAGAATTGAGATGCTATTAGTGGAGATAGGAAAGGAAGCTTGAGAGCTCAGATCAAGATGTGCACCATTTAAGGTGACTTTTAGACAACCAAGCAAAGGTGAAATTATGAGAAGGCAGTGGATGATAAGTCTGAGGTCCCAGTCAGAGGCTTGGGTGGAAAATTAATTTGAGAATCTTTCTTGACAGAGCAACTCTCACATATTACTCTATATTGGAGATTCCTCTTGATTACAGGTCCTTAATATCTTAATTTAAAATCTTTGGTGCCAGGTTTTGGAAAAGCATTAAGTTTAGCGATATGAAATCACCATTATCTGACAGCTTTGACGTACAATAATAATAATTTCATATGGTTCACCTGAATCATACCCTCCACATGCCTTATATTACATAACATTCTCAGTGGGGTTTGAAACAGTGTCCTATAATCAAACAGAAACATTTCTGTAGCCCAGTACACTCATGCTGAGTGGGATAGGTAAGGACAACACACACACACACACACACACACACACACACACACGCCCTTCCAATTCAGCTTTTGTTGCCAAGTGCATTATAACAGCTTTCACATTTTTAGAACTTTTTGGATTTTGGACTGTGCAGCATGCCGAGTTGAAACAGGCCAATGAGCAGAAGATACTGAGAGGGATATTTCAACTCAACCTAATGACTATATCAATGCTATTCCATGACTAATCACACATGTTTCTAAAGGTGGGAGCTGTCTGTCCCATGAGTGCACACGGGACCTGAACAACCACTTATTGGGGATACTTTAGAGGAAATTCAATTACTAGAGAGATTGTTAGAGCTGGTGTCTTTTACAGCTCTTGGTCT